GGACTTGTTCTTGCTTCCAAAAATTCTAACCCGGTCCCAAGAGAATGCCACGGTGGGGAGTCAAAAAACATCATCTTCTTCATTAAGGCCTACCCACACGTACGGTGAAGGATGCTTTTCAGGACGCCCAACCGGCAAACGCTCCCACATCCAGACCGAGAGGCCCCAAATACATCCACCCATGCATGGCTTCGAGGTGGTTTTCCTACATGTGACGTCGAGCTGCAACCCAAAAATCAAACTGGTTAAATGTACTAACATAAGAGTTGGAGGAGTGCTCTTTGTAGGAATTCATGAACATACTACCATGCTTAATGGATATTTGCATTACTTGTTACCTGACGGTATAAGTAGGCGAGCCCAGCAGACCCCCAGCTGTACTTCTCGTCCCAGTCGGCCCAGAAGTCAAGAAACATCCAAGGAGCAACGTCTCCAGAGCAGTCTCCAAAGACCACCTGTGATAGGAGGTGCCACATGTACTCTCGAGCATACCGCTCCCCGATCTCCTCATTAGCTTTTGCAGGGCATCCCGATCTATGATGCTGGAGCCAAGGGAATGGGACGCCATTTGTCCTGTTGTCAGTCCTTCCCTGGGCACTAAGAGAGGCCGAGCAGTCACCGATGAGAGCGGTAACCCTCGCACGCCAGTTCTTGCTGTCCACTCGTCCGGTGAGAGCCTTGTTGTCAATGGGAAGCCCGGTGATCATGGCAAAGTCCTCCAACGTCACCGTCAGCTCGCCACAAGAGAGATGGAAGATGTGTGTCTCCGGCCACCAACGATCAACGTGGGCGGTGAGATCTAAATGGCACATCGACGGCGGCACGCGCTTGAACTGAAGAACAAACGGTCAGCCCGGCACGCTCAAAGTACGGCTCGTAGCGCACGTCATATTGCATCTAGTTTTCCGTCGTGTGGCTCCTAAAGCGCACTACAACAAGTTTCTGTAACAATTGAGAAAAAAATGTCAGAAGCTTCCTTCATTCAAAAAATAGCATTGAAATGACAAAACTAATTGTTTGTCAAAATTATTACCTCTCCACGCTCGATAGCACGGGCACGATGATCCTTGTCAAAAGCAAGGTCAAGCCCCGTATGCAAACGCCCATTGTCCTCATCCTCGGCCATCCTAACATATATATAATTTTTTCACTTATTAGACAACATCGTCTATACATTCATCCATCACAACACAAAGCATCTATATGCATTATACATCACAACACAAAGCATCTATATGAAATACACACATTTTCACACTATGCATTAACCACCTACCAATTTTGCAAAACATTCATCCTCACAATTCTGCAATACATTAACCATCTACGAATTAGACAATGCCTTCATCCTCACAATCTTGCATTCACCATACATAAAAACTTCTTATACAATTCATATATACATAACAAAAAAAATGACCAACATATATGCATTCACCAACATATCCTCGCATATCTTGCAATGGTTTCAGCCACACTATATGATTTAGTACTAAGGCAAAACAATTTACATGACGATATCCGGAAAAAAAATTCATGGTGATAATGATGAAGAAGCCACCACCACATTGTCACTCGAGAAGAATTGCATCGTACACCAACAAAGAGGGATTTCATGACGAGAGCTCAGAAAGTGTTGTTCCTATATTCCAACATATACGCATTCACCAACATAAGCCTACTACTAAATCATATACTACTAAACAACTAAAACATCAGTAAAAAAATCAACATCAAAACCTAGGTTGCACCTAGTGCCAAAAATAGCTTCAAAAATAAAAAAGCATTGCGAAAATTGATTGGAGGGAATGGAGGAGCTTACCGGCCTCTTCGATTTGCCCCAAAGATGAGCGAAAATGGTGGAGGGAAGAGGAAGATCGAGGGAGGGGATCGGGAGGAGGAGAGAGGCGGTGCTCGCCTCTGTTCGAGTCGAGGAGAGGAGGAAGAACGGGCTGGTGGGTGGGGTAGGGGCCGCCCGCAGCCACCAAGCATAGAATTGCTTGTTTGGAACCTACCGCCATCCTCTCTGGCGGTAGGGAGCGACGTCCTACCGTCACGGTCTGTGGCGGTAACGACTTATCCACGTCAGCGCGGTAGACAGCGCCGTCGACGTTAACCCGGTCCCTACTGCCAGTACCTGTGGCGGTAGCATGTTCTAGCCTATCGCCAGCTCGGGTGACGGTAGGAAAAGGATCAGATCCAAAAAAAATTACGGCTAGGGGTCAGATGCAGCTAAACATGAAGGGTCAAAACAGTGAATTTGGCCGGATGCGGCACCGCACACCGTCGAATCGAACCGAACCGAGCTGTGTGTCCACGTCCTGCTTTGCTTGCCTTCGCCCGGTTTGGTTACGTTTTCGACTTAAGAAAGCGGACCTTGTGCGTCAACCGGAGCTTCTCTTCCTCCTTAAAAAACTCATCATCAAGGGATTGTGAGCCTCCACCCCCAGCCCAGTATTCCGAACCCTCTCCCAGTCTCCCTCAATCGAAGGAGGAGTGGTACTAGGTTTCGCGCTTCAGATTGACAAAAAGGAGACGCCCGTGT